GGTTCGTCGGGCGACCTCTCCCTAACAGCCATCAGCCCGAATGAACGCTATCATTCGATGATGCCAGCCCTCTCCCCTGGTCTCGATTTTACGATCGATTCCGGAGCAGGCCGTTTCCGCTGGACACCAGAGCCACGCTTCTCTTCAGCCATCCTACGTATGTTTACGCCTGGCTCCTTCTGCGGCTGCCTTGGTACAATGAGTGCCTCGCTTCCTGGATAATAGTGCTGATGTTAGGCATCGTTAGTCTTTACATGAATTGAGCATGATGGATTACCTTGGTGAAGGGTGAGTAGGCTGAACTTGAGTCGTTTCTTAATTACAGGTTTTTGGTGGCTACAATGAAGATAGAGCTGCTTGAAACAGATTTTGTACGTTTAGTTTTGTAGATCTATTGTGAAATATTTCTGAATGTAGCTGTAAATAAATTTTGAGGAAGAATCAGTTTAAAAATATGTGGCTGTAAATGAAACTGAAATGTAATAATTATTTGAAAAATCATAGAAATTGAAAAGTTACAATTTCTCAAATGAACTACAAATAAAATCCAAATACGAATAGTTATTTCAAAAACATAAGAGAACTGTAAAACATAGATTTTGGACCTGAAAAATAAAATTCTTAAAAAATGGGCTGTAAATAAAATTACTATTTTAAGCAGGATAAAACACAAATAATCTTTCATTGTGCTTAGACCCATTAAACGATTATTAGACAATAACCGTTGATAAACGAAATTCACGATAATATTCCTATGGAATTACCATGCTTTTACATCTCTTAACCATTTACATAAGGCAGTAGAAACATCAAATATCGTATACATAAAGGCCAAGGGACTAGAGAGCATGAAATATGATTTATCTGCAGATAGAGAAATTACATGACTAAACATGACACGGGACCGACCTTAGATAGGTGGTAGGAACCTGTGCGACACTTGTTTCGCACTTGTTCTCACGAAAGGGCCACGATGAGAGCAGTCCTGGTGCGCGACCCTCTTCCCCGTGTCTCGTCTCAGGGGAATTCTCTTCCAGGGTACGCGAACGTAGTACGTCGTGCAACACCAAATCGTCCATAGTGTATATACTGAGAACACACAGGAACGAACTCATCCATTGGCGTAGACCTTCCCACAACTTCTCTATGCTTCTCCAATAGAAACTCGAACTTGCACGTACCTTATATAAGAAATTATGTTAGTGTAAGCTACAATAATATGAACTTTTTGTTGCACTGTTGCATCTGTTTACGTTACGTGTGTGCGTTATGAAGATACCGCACGAAGATACAGATAGATTTCTGTGATAATATTTTTTCAAATAGAGGTAAATTTGATTGGTAGAAAATGTTACAAGAAATTTACAACGATACAAATAACTTTTGTACATAATTATTTACAAATAACTTTTGTAAATAATTTTATCGTATAATAATGAACAAACTTGTGTAATTCAAAGCGAAAAATTATAGATAAAAAATCGACGACCTATTCATGTAAATTAAATATAAATAAAGGTAAAGTGAATTGATGGATCCGTTGAAAAACTGTCACTAAAATAAGTTTAGTGTCTACGTCTATGGGAACATGGCAAACATGCGTGCGCGTGTAAACACTCGCACACTCGCATAAACGGCGTTTCGTCTTTTATATCAATAGAGTGAGAGAACGTCAACCCCCCTTAGCGGTCTGATACATATGTCCTTGATTTGTCGGGAGAATAATATTCTCCTGGAAAGTTGATTAAATATTGGTTAGTGATCTCAGATGCCCTTTACCCCCCTCCGTTTCCGTTCCATCGACTCGAAAACCCATAGGAATACAATTTAATATTTTCACGTCCCAGGGATAGCCGACTATTTTTCTTCCGATTTACACGCGGCTCTGTCACTATCACCTTTCATTTTCACGAATGAAATCGTTTTATACTTGTTGGTCTTAAAAAATATTTCGCAAGAAAGGATATCACGTTTTCATAATTACAGTATTAAGCTCACGAAAATATTTGTACACTTCTAAGAACATTTTACGTATATATTATATAAAATATTTTGAAATCTCATTAGCACTGTAACGAGAAACGACTGCCGTGAGGTAATTAGATATTTACTACAAACATATATTTAGTAAAACATTAGGATAATTCTTCCATGACCTAGCGAATAATCATTATATTATTGTTGAAACGTAATTATTAGAAAATGTGTCGGTATTTCTGATATAATGAAGCATAAAATCTATTAACGTGACAATTTTCGTTAGCTTACTGTAAAATGTTACCGCGAGCTGATTAAAATGGCTTGCAATTATTCGTTTGTCATCCACTTTTATGCAACGTTATTATCAGCTAATCCTGTTTACAGCACATTACATTTACAATTATTTTCTATGTCGCGATGTGTTAATACACGAAAATGCAGGAAAGCTTCAAACTTGAATTTTAGGTTAAGCGATAAGTTTATTTACATTAATTGTTATTACTTTTACGTAAAATCTAGTTAATAAAGAAGTATTTTATTTATAGATGTATCTTTCATCAAAAAATTGTTTTATGTATCTTGTAACTTTTGTAACACTTTTCGAAATGTATATTTCACGAACGAACTTATTATTCAACGCAATAGAAACTATTAAATAGAATATTAAATAGAACTTACCAAATTTATTCAATGAATCAACATTTTTCCGTCTTCTATCCATGATAAACACCATAATCTTAAAAATTACATATTTTTGCTCTACACTACCCATAAAACGTCGTTGCCACTAACACAGGAAATGCGTACTTATTGCCAGCTCATTTTTTAAATATATACCACCAGGTGACATTTCGAGTACTAAAATTATAACTTAAGAATGAAATAATTAAAATTCACGTAGTTTATTGTATCATCCTAAAACGTTATTGAATTTTAATAAGTAAATTATAGAATATAATTTATTGTTTACATTAGATATAAATTAAATTATATTAAATTTAATTTAATTTGTACAATTCAAATATTTTAAATGCGACAGACAGCGCCACTATTTCCGGTAAAGTATTTTTATTGGCGCAGTCGCGTATTATAAAAGTATAAAAAGTAGGACGGCACGAAAATCAAATGTGGTAATAAAAAGTAGTTTTATTATTAATTTATTATGAAAGTAGTGTTGATTATTCTCAGAATGGTTGGAGTCACAGCATATCTATCTGTATAAGGTAAATATCAACATTTCTTTTCGATCTTGTTAAAACAAAAATACAATTTCAATGAATGGATTCAATATTCTAAAAACTATCGTGATATTATTGGAAGATGAAATATATAAAACATAGTAATTTGCAATATTTTGTAATTTAATAGAAAAATTAATATTTGGTACGAAATTTTTAATTTTTAGGAGAATCAAACTTAGGTGTATTTAAACATTCAATTTTAATATTTGAGAAATTATACAAAGCAAACATCAATATCAAATATTTGAGTAATTTGTAATCGCAACGAAAAATTTACATTAAATTCGATTTATACGCAACATACAAAAATTACAGAACTGTTTGTTTTCTATATTTTAAAACAAACGGTTTTATCAAAACAAAATACGCTTTAAATAAACTTCCAAAGACAGTTTCTACTTATCTGTGTAAATGTCGCACTTGTATAAATATACATAATAAACCTGAAAACATTTAATTATACAATAATCAGTAAAAGCGAATTATTAATAACAATTACTTGTATCACTATTTTTTATACAATATTTGTGAATACTAGCAAACACAACACATAATAATGAATAATTATATATAATATTATAGATAAATAATTCTACATACCTCATTAAGATATAATAGCAAAAATGTATCTAACGTACATTTCAATTAATGCAGCATTCTTATTTTTGATAGAATATTGTCTGATTCCTCACACAAGCATCATGTTCTGAAATGAAAGAATGAACAAAATTAATCAAAATTAAAATGAAGTCGCAAACTAGGAATTTCTTACTAAAAAATTAATTTCAATTACCATGATTCGGTCGATAATGAAGTCCTTCTCGATTCACTCCACCCCGCCTCGAGCTCTTCATACTGCTCGCCTTTTGTAAATTAGTAACAATCGTGTCACAATCTGATTTTCCTATTTCCACCACGTTCTGTTTTGGAAGGTGAACTTCACATACGTTTGAGGACTCTTTGACGTATTGTACTTCAGGTCGGCACATGACTACCTTTCTGGGATGCGAGCATTCCTCAAAAGTAACATTCGAATGAGGCAAATTTTGTTGTTTCACATATACGACTTTGTTTTGCTCGCACGTTGGCACGAAAATAATTTTCTGCGTTGATTCTTGAGGATATGATACCACGCGATAATTAACGCCTGAGTTAATTAATTCTATATTATCGACGGAAGCAACGTGCTTATTCCTTTGCATATAAATAGGAATTTTTTCAGTCTTGGAATCGTTTTCAAATGCCAAATACTTAATCGGCTGTTTCTCCAGTATCACTGCATTTTTGATACACTGATTGTTAACGACTTGTATCGGAGGCTCTTGTTCCTCCATGGGCAAGATCTTTAAATTCTGCACGCCTTTCAGGATACCAACATCAGCTATATCTTCTTGGCAGAATCGTCCATTCTGCACCGTTCTAGATTTCTCAATTTCAGGCACATTATCATAAGGATACTCTTGCATGTTGTTCACATCATTGCATTGATCTACCACCACATAGCAAACATGTTGATCGTTATGGTACTTTTTACCGTTTTCAGATTTAGAAGGTTGCATGACCTTTCTTACCAATCCATTTTCACAAACCATTGGTTTTTGATGTACCTGTACGTGCTGCACTTCTGGTGCGCTTGCTTCTTTAAATTCTTGACTATTATAATTGGAACTATCAGAATTTTCCGAGCATCGATACGCTTTATAATAATTTCCTGGCGCTTCCTGGTAGTGTTTATATACAGTACAATTATTTTTCGATCTTTCATGCTGCAAAGGAACATTTTTCCGTATGATACAGACGTTCGACTTATCAGTCTTTCCATCTGCAATTATATTGTTTATGTATAGACAGTGTCCTATATTCCGCGAGTCTTTCTTCGTGAACATTACTGTCTTTTGTATTGGCGGATTTGTTCTGTTCACTAAAATGTCATTCGCATGGAGATTCTGCTGAGTTTGGTTGTGTTTAAAAATACTTGGTGAATCTATTACGCAAGTTTGAACGTTCAGATCTTTCATTTTTGTACTATCGAATAAGGTATTTGTAGTCTTCGATTTTTGCGGCCTCTTTGAATCTTCATTCGATTCCGTTACCACGGATTGCGAAGTGAAGAGAACGTTCTGCTTCGGTGCAACGTCGAACAACATTTTCCGAGACTCTTTATTAATATGCATCGGTTCCTGGAATAGATTTAGCCGATTGTTATTATTCGCCACAACATTGTTACACCTTCGTAATATAGCAGGAATATGCTTCAAATTCTTCATTTTAACTTGCTGCATTATTTTAAAATTTTGTCCTTCCGCGTGTTTTTTTAATCCATTGTTTAAAAAATGCACTGTTTGTCTACGTTGAGTTTTGTGTTTTATTAAACGTTTCTTATCAATAGAACTATTCTGAGATTCTGCTTCTGTTTGTGCAAATAAGAGAGGTTTATTCTTATCCTTTATCCTCTCACAATCAAATTCATTTATTTCAAAATATTTCATAATACTGTTCTTGTGTGTGGGACTTGCAGAATAATTTATTTCTAGAGAAGTACGATTGCTTACATCTGTCGATTCATCCTCGTTAGATATGTTATTCATTTCGTGTGACATTTCCGGTTCAAGACTGTTCTTTATTCCTGCATCCAGGGTGTTTGACGAAGACGAATGAAATAATAAATTGGACGTATTAATTTCGTTTTTTCTTAAATTCATTTTTGGTATTAAAAATAGGTTTTGTCTTTCTTGTAAACTGTCGTTATCCTTGTTACTTTTAATATCAATATGCCAGTCTGGATTATCAATAGTTTCAGATACTAAGTTCGCGTCTTGGGGATACCCAGAAGGACAATATGCAGTGTCTGGAGGAAAAGAATCATTCATCGAAGTACTCGGTGTACCGCATTCGTTCAAAATATTACCACGTTTAATCATGTCCCGTAAACATTTATTTTGAAATGATTTTGCGTAAATAGTTCTTAATTTTTGTTTCACCTTCGTTAGCGGATCTGTCGAAGAAAAAATATGAGAAAGAGAATATTGTAATAATTAAAAAATGTAAAATAAGATACCTGGTCCGAAACAGTCTGGAAAATTTTCTTCCTCGAAATTTTCTGAACAAACAACCCTGCATAATTCTTCGTATTTACTTAATGCAAAGTTTCGTAAATTTTCAGGATCAATCGTTTTCTTTTTTTCTGCTGGTTTTTGAGGGAACTCTATGTGTCCTTCATTTTTAATTCTCCTTCTTCTATAAAAAGTATGTAATTATAATAATGATTTAATTCATTTTTCTTTTACAAAAAAGAAAAAATAAAAAAATCTGATTCTTAATTACTCTCTAAACTTACATCTTTGGCTGTTGTATATATCTTGTGTGAAAATATTCAACGAAAATTACCTGAGACTTACCCATCCACTTTACCCAAAATAGGACTGCTTTGGACACCAGGAGGAGTTGGTTGGAGAATATCTTTGATAGTAGAATCGAGTAGTAATTCTTTCTGAACCTCTATGTTGCCATTTTCAACTACAACGTCTCTGTGAATTAAAAAATATATTCATTAGAGCGAGAGTAAGTTTTTTATAGTGTTTTTACTTACTCTGATTTCGAGTCATAACCATCCATTAATTTAAGCACATCTCCCTGTAGACGCGCGTTGTTTAGATCGTTCAAAGCTGCTTTCGTTTGAACTATAAATAATTATAGTATTTAATCAATTATTTTTTTTGATAAAACGATATATATTTATAAATTATGAGACGTACATCTTCGTATTTCTTTTCCTGCGGCACCATTTCTGTATATTCCAGCCAACTAGAATAGAAAAATCATAATTTTTATTATTGCTGTAAATAGCGTTAATTTTTTAAAATAGTGTGTTATTTATATTTACAGGTCCCGGAAGAATCCTGTTCGACAGCCTTTTTGAATTTGGCGCCTTGTTCGATTTTCCATCGATCTTCGTTTCTTTATCCTGGAAGAGATTGTCCGCAAGTAATAAATATAAAAAGTGGAGGAATGAAGGTAAATTAAGTTTTCAAATATATATATTCCTTTAGTATGTCGAAACGCTGCAAAAGTTCAACGAAATTACTCAGCCAAAATTTGAATGTCATCCGGTTCTGCTGAAAAATTGCGCGTATATTATTACGATTTCAGAAATTATTTCCGAACATTAATAATAAAAAAGTTTGTTATTTAAACTAAATATACAATAATTAATTTATCAAATAATTTATATAATAGTTCTGATATGCTTCAAGTATTACAAAATTAGTAGTTATTAAAATTGATATCGTAGCAAGATGAATAACCGTGTTAAATTATACAAGATTATACATTCATATTTCTTCGTAATATGCATAATAAAGAAAAAAATAAAAAGAATGGCGCGTTTTCTTATTTTCATACTGTTCGATTTATCGATATATCTCATGAGATGCATAAAACTTATTCTTTATTCGATTCTATAACAAAGTATCAATGTATATATTTATTTTCATGTATGTTTGTATATAACATAGTCTACGAAACATTTTTTTCAAATCCCCAAATATTATTCAATATCTATTAATAAAATAAGAGGAAAACATTGAAATAAC